TAACCCTAATATTTTCTTGCTAACACTTTCTTACTGGTTCTTGGTATTCTTCAAAGAAGGAAGAAAATTCCTTTATTATGTCATAGAACAAGGACATTACCACGAAGAAAATCTCCTTTTCGACGATCTCTATTTCAAAGCGTATACAAGTGTATTCATGTTTAACAAAAACCAGTCAGATAGTGATAGTATGTTCTAGAAGGGTATTGAGCATTAAGAAGAATAATTACAAAAGGGAAAGGAAGATGTGGAAGTTAGAACCAGAGAAGAGTTTCACATAGAAAGTGTGAAAATCAGTTAGTCAACCTACGAGTGTAAAATGGGTCAAGGGATAAAGAATAATAAAAAGCAAGTATGGTGGAAAACATGTAATAAAAAGGTAGGAAAGGTTTATTCGAAAGAAAACTAAGGTGACCAAAGTAAAGCTCATTCATTTAAATGATACTTTTGAACACAAATATTACACTTAAGATCATGAATTACCACTGACCCGGCTACATATAGATGATGTAGTCGTTAATTAAAATTGTAAAGAGGCACTGTAAATTACGTTGAAAAAACTACTAGGAGAGGTTGGATGTCTGGAGATGACAAAGTGTTCAAGAGTGGGAATGTTGACCTTCCTTTTCTCTCCTCTGGATGACCAGGCTGGGTAATGTTAGAAAACACATCTACGAAGTTGACGATGTATGTTGTTCGACAAGAACAGGTAAACTGACAGATAGCACCATCCATCCAGACCAACCTAGGATCAGGCATTACTGCGTAACGGTCCGAGTTGCCACACTTCATATCACTACATCAAGTAAAAAGGCAATGAGGCGCAAGATGAAGATAAGAGAATGCAGTCAAAAGAAATATAAAGTACGAAAAGAGAGGAATGAAGAATGAGAAAGTGGTGAGATTCGGTATAGCGTCGTTAAGATGAGGATAATGTATGTGTACATCTGCGCCACTGACATCGGTTCTCAGCCATATCACCTACAGTCTCCAACCACTGGTTCCTCTTGTCTCGCCGACCCCAACCACCTAGTAGTGTGCATCGCCCCACATAGCTCAAACTAACAGTCAGAGACTTCATACATTGGTGCCATGTTTTAGTCTGGCCACCTCGGACCTTTTCCCAGTCTCGACCTACTTCAGACAACATTGTGTGATGAGGCAATCGGTGACTAGGCATACGTTACACGTGTCCCAACCATCTCAGTCGATGAAGGTTCACAACCTCGTCAACCGACTTACCTCTTCTCCCTAAAACTCTACTCCTGACTTCTGCGTTACTCACATGGTGACACCACGGAATATGGCCCATACTATGAAGGCAACGGTGGTCAAACACCTGAAGCCTTCTCATGATAGCACAGAGGTAGCCAAAAGTGGTATTCTGTCCCTAGTGGATTGATGAACTAATTTTTCTTTCTCGACTGAAAGGTTGTATTCAGTTATGTATGTTGGTCACAGAAACACCATACATCCATGGTCAGAAATTCCAGTTTCATCAAGTGAGGTATGTTTTCCGACTTGGCACAAGGTTAGAACGTTGAGAGCTTCACTGTGAAATCGGCAAAGTGGTTTTACGGGACCAGAAATAACGTTTTGTTGGCTTGGTTGTCAGAAGTGGTTGTGAGGTCAAAAGTTGAAGAAATTGGATCAAGCATAGTGTTGGTGGCTGGAACAGGTAATGAAGGCAAAGTTAACGAGAGCAGGTTATGGTCAGTTGGGTTTTATGTGCCTCTGAAACCACATGGAAGCTGATATCTTCATGAAGAGAAAGTAGATTAGTTTTACGTGACCGCAGAACCCAAAGGAAATCTGCTAGCGACCAGTCTCACATGCCTTTTTCGCCACTTCAGTTGAGTTGTTAGGTGTTTCACCTACATCTAATAAAACAACTTAAATGGAATTACATTTGATCACAGTGCTCTAGTTTAACTCATATTAACGTCTACAGGAGGAAGAAAAGTCACTTCACAAGTCTGTGACACGGAAGTCTAAAATTTGTAGAACGGATTCTTTTTAATCGCTCTTTCGGACAAACAGAAGTCAACAACAGCTTGTGATGCTGGTTATCCGAGGGAAACACCTTATCGCTATCATACTCCGTATCTCTCGGAACCTACCATGGCATAAATTACTCTCTGTGACAGTAACTGGCTACTGCCATGCCACTAATGGTATGACTTATTTTGACAAGTTGATGCAATCAACCACACCACAATGAATGAATAGCCTACGAACTTTAGTTCATCGGTACCCTGGTAATCAAGCCTCTTATGTTACTACACCGATTTTCACATCAGACTTAAAGTTGAAGATTTAGCCAATAGTTGCTTTAGGAAACCAAGTGCTTCGATCTGGGCATCTGGTAAGGACCCAGCTCTTACACAAAGCCATATGCTAAAAGGAAGACTTTGAATCGCTTACCTGACCATACAGTACACTTTTTGGTATTCGTTACATACCAGGTCCGTTTAAAAATACCCATTAAGTACTCAAAAATAAGGAAAACAGGTCTGCATACAACGTTAACAGTTCGAAAATCCATTTAGATGAGGGTGTAATACTATTCGAACACATTATAAACAAGGATCAAAACTAGCGAGAGATCATTGCAACTCACTCAACTAAAATACTCCCGATGAAGTCAAAGTTAGCGAAAGAAAGGCCTACCAAATCGATCTTGAACAGTAGTGATCGAACACTGTAACTGCTCACATCAATAGTTTTGCAATTAACTTTTCATTTCACACGTCAGTTTATCAAATATCACGGTTAACAGAATTACCTATTTATCGAAAAATATGTTCTTCATGGTTCTCTAAAGGTACAAATTACGGTTACTCATTGTCAGTCACGCTTCACGCAATAGTAAACAATATTCGGGGGTGAAATCAAGTTATTGTTGCTTAAAGATGTCCACAATAAACCAAAGTGTGATAAGAACCATAGTACATTTAACTGGAAATCAGGAACACTTTTATTTTTGAGGCAGTGTTAATAGGAATCGAAATGTACTCAACAACCCATACGCGTCCTTACAGTGGGCAAAGAAACACTGGTTGCATTACGGTTAACGACACTACCTAAACCTCGGTAGGTGGAGTAGGACGCGTGATCTAATGGTTAGATACCGAGCGCCTAGTCTTAAGAATCACAGCCTGACGTATATTGCTAAGTCATTTGCGTTCATTGGAGGAAAACTGGATGTTTCGAGAAGTATCTTTAATCTACCGTTCAGAAGAGTGCCTCAACTTCTTTAATATATATACGATCTTATCTCCGTGATATAATTCAAATTATTTATCTCACTGGTTTTGCACATGAAATACGTTTCTCAGCTGTTTGGGCTGTCCTCATGGACTAAATGGAATGAAGTTGACAACTACGATAAATCTTTTCGGATGAATTTCTGTACTGAGCAACTGGAAGTTAAATTACTTTTAGGCTTGCTCCATGTGATACTCACCTGCCAATACAAATAGCAGCAAGTTAGCCTCCCATTTGATCTAGTTCGGTAGTAGTTGGTGTTAGGAAATAGTTCCCCACCTCCATACCCGTTATGTAAAACACTACCTGTTAACGCTAAGTCGAAATTCAGGGCATCTGTTAGAGAAAGGTGTTGAGCCTGGAGGCTCAAAGGTTATTAGAATTACATATTGAACTAAATAAGGAATTCGAATTATCAAGTGGTATAACTTGTCTTCTAAACATCGTCCAAATCATCTAGTATTCAATGATAGGCCCGTGTCCGACTAAGAACAGCTGCACCATTCACAGAAGCAGCCAAATCATGTATACGAGGCACTGAGAAATAAACTGGAGCAGTTCTGGTGTCAAACCACCAACAGTAACTACAAGGTCACAAGTCCGTGCCGCTCTCCTTCGGGACTACATGGATAGGGGAGGACCACGGGTTGTTGAGAGGTCTGGTCACCCTCACTCCCAGAATATATTCAAACTTAGCCTTGGGAGCCCGCAGCCTTGAGAAAAATGTCATGCTCGGCGAGAACTGGCGACCCAACTGTCGCCATGTTACATGGTGTTAGATGTCACGCGAGGTACGCTAGATATTGGTTAGAATATCAGGAAATCACTGAGTTACGGGATCATACGAGAAACGAGTGTTACCGTTGAAATAAACCGGGGTGGTAGAACCGATCGACTTGCTCCTCCCTGCATCTAACGGCAACACAGACTTGCGAGAGATCCACACTGTAATGCCAGTGCTGAGTTCAATGACAACGAAGACCAATTGTGGCGAATGGTGGGGTTCCATGGATTTGTCACACTGGAGTAACGACCGGCAACACGAACTTACGTTAAGCCACTCTTCAGTTGTTGGTCGATATTACGATAGTTTCTGCTCCAGTATCTACCAGAAAGCGTATCCTAGGGCTCGTCACATGGGATGAATGACGGGCTCGCCGTTAGTCGCCTCCACGTGTTCGCTTGTTTCGCGACTATGCACAACCAAAAAGACACTGCATGCTGGAAGCCGTGCTTGGACCAGGTAAGTAGACCCACTGATACGTCATTTCGTGTCCCTGTTTAGCGGAGCCATCTACCCTAATAGGCTGTAACATGCATGTTGAATGAATATTACCCACTGGTTCATATTTAACAGCTGAGATTGAGTAAGTAACATCCGCCGACCTCAGGTGACTGTTGAGAGGACCCGGAATGGTCAAGACTTCATGCAACCATCGGAAGCAACCTCTACACTCGATGCCGACGGCAGGAACACCCTATTCCCTGCCGTACCGAACCGCTTCCACTGTAGCCAACACGGTCCTATTGCTAGCGAACAAAACACAGTTGGTCGAGTAGCATTTTATTGCTATCATGAGTTGCGGTTTCCAACTGAAATAATCTTGGCGCTACTGTGGAAGGAATCATCACGAACATTTTCTGCAAAGACGGGTACATCAAGAGAAACATGTAGGGCTCTAGTCGCCAACCAGCACGGAAACCTTGCTATAGTAAAAGCATCAACAACAAAATCATTCTGTGAAGGATTGTAATAAGAATATAATTAATGGTGGAGTTGTAAAAATGCTCATGTACAGACGGTGAACAAGTGGAATACCGTCACGAGACAAATGGAGTGGTTTGAATAGTTTTTAAGCTGCTGTCTCAGGTTTCTTTCCTTCCTCTTCTTCGGTCTCGTTTTTTTCGGTCTCAGCACTCGGTACTTCAAGATCTGGGAGGTCTATAAAACCAAGAAATGAATTTATTCAGAATAAGGAAATGCACATTTTGTTACTGAAAATACTTGTAAAATTCACTAAGACCCGTACAATTTGCGGCACTCATCCTGAGATGAATTCGGAAACATATTCACTGTCAGTACCATACTGGCTATTACTCTGAGCAGGTGTTATCTAGTGGAAAATGGCTTGACACAGACATATACCATGACCAAACCCACTTTATGCTACAAGCTTAGGAATAAGTTTGAAGAATATTACGAAGCCATGTTTGTGCAAGGTACGAAGCAAAGAGAATGCAATCCCGGATGACGGACACAAGGTCACTATCCAAGAGTATCATGTTCAGATGGTTCGTCAACAAACGAGAACTTTTTGCTCAACAACACTAAGTTTGTCAAGAGGACAAAAGTGACGAGATCTTCCCAAGCCATCTGGGTGACAAACCAGTTCGTTTGTTCAGATATACTGAGCAAAAGGATTCCCCTTGACTCTGATTCAGCTGTTAGTCGAGGTACTAGTTTCATTCGATGCTGTACACAAGGATGAACTATACACTCGCTATGTTGCGGTACTGCTACATACGACCAGTTGGAGCACTAGCTTATTAGGTCAGAAAACAGATGAATGACCTTACAAAACTAATGACCATGAACACTCATGGGATGGGGCTTGAGCAAGCGTGTTGGGTAGAAAGGTATGGCGTCACCAGGCAGATAGGGTGAACTTCGTAACGAATACATTGTAACAAGTCAATACACACGTTTATGAACCAGCCATACATTGTAACTTGACTCTAACCAGTTATCCTGGCAGAAGGGAAATGACCACTGCCAAGACGTAGTGATACTCGACTAGGAATTACTTGGGGGGGGGGGGGGGGGTTACAGCCATCACTGAACGTGTGGCTAAACGAACAGGTAACAAGATAAATCCCAATAACTAAGTAATACATATATCAACCTAACTCGATGAATACGGGAGATCTGCGAAACGCATAAAAAAGACAACTAACCCTCATCATCAGAATCCAGGTCTCCATCTGCTCCATCGTCACCACCATAGTCATTGAAGTTGGACATTTGTGAAAGCATATTTGAAAAGTTATTTCCTTCCATGTCAGGCTCTGAATCGTCTTCATCTTTCCAGCGACTGAAGTCAGTTTTTAGCCAGGGACACTTGACCTTCTGAGACAGTAGACGAGGCCATGCACCGGGTTCTTTCTTTTTAATACATATGACTATTTCTCTGCCAGAAACCGAGAGTTTGGGTTCCTAAATGTATGAATCCAAGGTCTAATACTTACTTCTGTGCAGACAGGTCCGTAAAAATCAAGCTTGACTTCATAGTCCACCTGTTTATCTTTGCCAGCTTTTGCTCTAGAACAATATTTAAAGAACTCTCAAGGTACCTGAACTCCAGTGACTGATCCTTGACATCTATGGTCTTGCTTTTAATATCAGTCAGGCTGATAGTAATGTAGAGACAATCATTCCTCTGGGCCCACAAGACTGCAGGTTGAACACTAGGAAAACATTACAAGAGACAAATCCACACTTACGACACGCTATGGTCACCGGACATGTTTGCTGGCTAACTAACAACACGCGAGATGATTCTAGAGCAACGTCCCACTTAAACACACAGCTCAATTTCCAATGCCCAATATTGTTTTTACTACCTAATTTTCGCCAACTGATTTCGTCTTTTTTCCGAATTTCGGAGGGAATCTTTAGGTTTCGTCTGAATTTTAGTTAGTTCTGAACTTCACCCTACTGTTGTTGTTCAGGTGCAGTGCGTCTTCAACAAATTAGACCAGAAACCTTGTATCTGATATTGATCCTTACAGTTCGTAACCCAGTTTCTGTTTGAAGATATCAGAAACTGCGAAAATTCTGCACCTCCTCAGAAAGTTCTTCTGATTCACAAGCTTGTAGTTTGTTCACTTCCATTGAGTTTATTCACATTGCTGGGTAATTATTTTCGTGACCACACGAGGATCATCACTGTGACCTTTCGAGCAACTCGGACCATTCAGGATCTTGTGGACTGTTAGGATGCTATTTCTAAGGGGCCATATGTGGAGATAGAGACTCCCAGCTCATTTAGTTGGTTGTAAAGTTGTCTTTGTTGTAACTTTGAAGCTAGTTTCACCGCTTGACGTGGGACCTTATCAAACGGACTGACGTGTTTCTTCAAGTGTTACGCTAGTGCTATATTATGACCCTAAAAGTGAGTTCACACACATTTCCAACGCGGTATGTATAAGAGATCTTAGGCCATCGTACCTGCTTGCATCCTGGAATACTGTCTTTGGAGCTTTTGCTGTCCAGCTTGGGGCGACGTCTAAGAAAATTCAGTATTACAACCAGAAAGGGGGGGATGCTTTTGATGCAGGTGTGCCGAAGAATATTGTCCGACATCCTTCCGTGTAGTCGATAAATCCGAAAACCATTGAGGGCTGTGGGGTTATTGCTCGCGGGATTTCACTGGATGTCAACTTCAATCTCGAATATACTTTGTTTACCTCAGTAGAGATTTTTCCGTGTAGGCATATTCTGAACGGGAATAGCGGTGAGTTTCAGGTGCCAGCTTGGAGCTTTTCAAGGGTTGGTCAATGGCCCCTTTCTGCATAGGATGATAAATAACATCTTTCTAGAATGTTTATCACACTATTTGGCAAAGACATTGGATTTTTTACGGTACCACCTGATGGTGTCTTGTGTTCCCCTGCTACTGATATGTACTAACGATATCTCCTTGCCGATCTAGCATGCCACCTCGAAACATATATGTATGGCCGTCAACATTACTGCGTGTTATTTTCGGATGCTGTAGTGGTTTTCATACATTCTAGTCATATGAGTAACTAAACCGTAGTGTTTGGATTGTCCACGTGCGCATTTCTTTTTGATGGAGCAACAGTATTTACGATCACCAGAGGCTTAGACTGATATTGCACTACCTCTACCATCCTCTTCAGAATCCCAACATATTCCAGCAAAGGACACTGAGTAAAAGCTGCCAGAATGCATTGAAGTGACTGTGGGAGATGCTAGGACTATAAATGTTATAGGATAGAATCCCCGAAATTAAAAGCGAAAACAAGCTGCCCCATCTGATGCAGCATTTTCGCGGTGTGGGATGGTGATTGCGGCTGATTCCTACTGATCTTAGAACCAGTGAGGCAAGGTGGCATCTGGTAGATCACATATGACAACCCAAATCGCAATCTTCACCGAGACGGATGCACTAGCTTGTAGCATCTATCTATAGAGGCAACTATATTTGATAGCCACTGCGGAGTGGAGCCTATTCAGTCGGTTTCTGCTGAATAATATATGGAGTTCCACTGCATGGCACTGTTTCTAGACGCTTTATCAAAACATTTCATATTACCACCTTTACACTCATTACCTACATTACGGGTAATGTCCCCTTCAAAATTGTTCACGTGGTCTTACAAGATTATCGCTCAGAAATAGTAATTATGCTCGAAGCGCTTTGTGTCTCATTTCCTTCTCGACAGATTAGAAAGTGTATCCATTCGTAGCGGAACTATCTTATCAACTAGAAGAACAGTATCCAATTATAACAGTCTAGCTTGAACATAAGTGACTTAAGCAGATGTTATGATTATTTATTTCAGCTTTCCTGTTGTTAAAGTAATTCTGGGTTTCCCTGTGTGGAAAAAGTACATAGACAGGATGAGTGAACACTCTCTTATCTTTGTACTCATCCGGGGTACATAAAATGCGGTAAAAAGCCTCAGTTAGAGAGTATTAGCCACACTTTTGGGCGATGCAATCGATGAAGAGAAAGGGATACTATACACCACACTAGCTGAAAATGGCTATCATGGTAAGTTCGTAAAAAAGGGCATAACAAAGAGAGTAGAGGACTGCGAACCAGAAACCACCATACATGAAAATACAGTTTGAGGGCACAGCGCAATAGGCGATACCAAAGCAGGAGCTCCATAGATCGACCGGCCTAACTTTCAGTGAGGGAAAGTTGCAGCCGGTGTTTTCACACGCCTAGCCGAGGCCGGACGAACAAATACTTGGAGTGACTACTTGCTCTTATGCTTGTCATTTCAAACGGTCCCACGGAGCCACAGTGCTGGCCAATATCTTGGGTGTTCCAAGTTTTCGTGCTCACGAACACCTAGCATGCCCAACTAAAGAAGTGGTACAAAGTGTAAGCAGCTCAATTCTGGTTGACTTAGCTCAAATCAACCATGCAGCTAATATGAATCAATCACTTTCCACCATCCACCTTGTCCCTGGCAGTGTACCAAAAGCCACCACTCATCAAGGGCTTCAAGTAGCAGAAGAGGTAGACGATCGGCTCAAACAACCTGAATTATTCGCACAATAATGACAGACGCAACCAATAATTCTACCTCGGCCAGGCTCGAAATCACAATCTCTCCGAGAAAGTTGTTTTTAATCAGTCAGTATTACATAGGGCGTGTCTTCACCCACACAATTGTGCATTTTTAACTGCGTAAATGACTGATTGTCACATGAAACCTCACAGTTGCTTTTACTGGCATTTATTCTTTGATTAAACAGTATGAATGAATAACCACAGGGTATGACGAAGAATTTATCGGAAAGTGCATCCTTTGTTCATGCAGTTTCGGTGATTCCGTCTGTGAATGATACGAGCGCATACTGTGCAGCTGACCGAGAGTTGCTACCTGGCGCATATTTAAGTGAAAATACCACACCTCATCCCCACACAGCCAACATGAGTGACAGCCAACAGCTACATTCAAAGTATCCATAGAGGCATATCACTCCTTGGACATATTTAACTACGGCAGTCCGATGAGGGAACGAAGATTCACATGAGTTAATCTATGATGAAACCAACTAGAATGGTGGGCAAAGACATCTCTGATGGACACCGCCTGACGTACAGCCCATTCCACGCTTCATCACAGACGAAAGCGGGATCCAGGTCAAGGGACGAATTTCAGCACCGGTTGCCGGTAAGTGTGCCGGCGTTTCAGAACCTTATGGAGGCTGAATATCCGGTTAGTACGCCCAGAACTGGGTTTGAAACCCGCTTGATTTTATTAGGCTAGCTTTTCCAAGCTTCACCTATGCGTTGGCCGGCCACAGAAGCCGTGATATCAGAGACTGCGTTTGTCAAACTGATTCGCTTGTGGTCATCATATGAGGACTTCGCTGATTCTTGGAAAAGTGGGACAATCAGTGACTGGGACTCACTAGAAAGGACCATGTCTGGTTTCTGTTAACTGCCTAACACTTCAGGCAATCTAGCCAAAGTGCCTCAATCAGAACCTTTAAATGCATCTCATATGATCCCATTTGTTGACGGCACAGCTATGCTATAGTGAAGCTGAAGCTCATATCCACCTAAACGTTCTAAAAATGGAATATGTCGACCTTGCAGAAGTGATAGATTTCTCAAGCAAACCTATTTTGCGGCCCATATATCTGGTCAACCAAGAACAGGAATCTCGCACCACGGACCAAACCTTATTTGGCACGATAAAGATCTTAAGCGCGGGCAGACGACATCTTGCCTGCCGGCAGATTTAAAGTGCAGGACTGAGTGCATGGGAAAACGACCCAGACCAGTTAAGAGTCCACAAATGTGCTTTCGGTGTCGGGAAGTACAGATTCGAAAACAAAGAACACTTCTCGTTCTTTAGTTGTGTCCGTCGCGCATTCAAACCATCTGAGAGTCATCACACATGAAATTAGAATAAATAAATGCCTGCGGAACGCACAATATTTTTATTCATGATGATCGTCACTGCAAAGCATCTGCTCGCGATTGTCCGGGGTGGATCAGAAAAGCTACCAAGAATGGTCCAGAAAAAAGATCAAAGCCCAGGATGGTTTCTGGGCGCCGATTCAAAGAAAAGCCGAATATAAAACGTGGAGTGGAGAATGGAACTAATCTGTGGAAATAAGGCAACTTGAGGAAGACTTCTAAGGCTGCAGACGATGGATCTAAGGGTCTCCCCCTACATTCGTTCACCATATTGTTGATCCTGCGTAGGTCGGTGATAAGTTATGACCAGAATTGTGTCGTCCATCATTTAGAGAGGGGCGGACTGGTTTGGGAGAGTCGAAATTGTTAGTGCTGCGTTTGCTGAGCTGTGTATCTAGCCCACAAAGGATAAGCATGACTGAATAATATGACTTACACAGGTCTGAGTAATTTAGATGGATATATCTTGACAAATCACAGATTCCTGGTGTATGTGATCAAAATACGAAGAAGAAACATTTTCAGCAGATAAAGGATACATCGGAAGAGTCTATCCTAGCGGATTTTGAACAATGGGTGGGATTGGGTACTACAACATATGCGGATCTTTGGAAGTTGTGCAGGCCTTTATCTGAATTGGGTTAGCCCAATCAAGTTATCTTTCACAAAACGCACTTCGCCAGCCAGACAACTACAGTGCGCGCAAACAATGTGGAAAATATGCCTAGTCGCCTCCGAAAGTTTCAAAAGCCCAGTGGCATCACTAATCCTTGTGATCTTCCGGGAGATACGACGTGATCTCACATAGATAATTGACAATAGACACGGTGGTACGGTTTAGAAGATGACGAGCCCGATAAAACACAGATATCTTCATTTCTGATGCGAAACGGATC